CCGCCGCTTCCGCGCATCAACAACCCGAACAATAACAATAATCAAGTTCAACAAAATGTAGTGCTGACGATGAACGGTAGTGCAGTGATTACGCAACAGCAACAACAGCAGCAGCAACAAGCGATTACGGTACCACGTGGATGGAAAAGGATATGCACCAACGGGGTCATCATTTATATCAGGTGAGTTCTCTTTCGTTTTTTCCGGTCACGATCACTTTCTAATTGGCTTGTGTGCAATGTGTGTTCACTTCGTTTTTCGTTCTGTTGTTGCGTAATACGTTGGAACCAAAATGATTATATTTTCTATTTTCGAGTGTTGTATTTCGCAGTATAATAATATTATTTGTACGTATGGTAATTATAGTAGATGCTTTTGTTTAACGCGATATTTGAACGATTCAGTTATTGCTATATGTGTAATGCAATGACGAAACGACTATCGTAATTCGTATGGAAGACAGATAGATTTCAATGTATAACGAGAAACGAAATTTTGTCCAATTAAATTTCATGAAATGTATCTTCATTTTTTACCATATAGTAATTTAGGTTATGTAACTTATATAATGCATATCACATACTTCATGATATGCAGTTTTTAGAATGACTGCGTCTGTTTATTAACATTGTATTATTCTTAATTTGCATTCGCATTTGTATTAATTATTCATCGCTTTAGTCTTTGTAAGTTATCTTAATGGCATCATTGATTTGCAAATATTCCGAGTTAAATTAAATAAAAAAAATTGAACGGAATGTGAATATACAGATAGAAAAAATAGAGATTTTCACGAATTGTTAAATATTTTCGACGAAATAAATAATTCTTCAAATTACATATTATTAGTTAATTTATAGTTTAAGCTTGAAATGCTATACATAGATGATTATAATTCAACTAAATAAAGCTGAAGCTAAATAAGCGTATACAATCGCGTTTCTATTTCAATAAAAGAGAACATTAATTTTACCGAAACGGCATTTTTATTAAACGCGAAAACTCGAGATCTAAAATTGGTAGTTTCGCTATCGACATTCGCTTGCTTCGTATCACACGAGAAATAAAGAAATACGATTGTTAATCGCATAAAATCGTTGAGCGCACGTAAAAATTTCTATTATCGCGTTATTCAGAATTGATTTCATCGGGGTTTGTCTCAGTGGTTTGCGGGTTAGTGGTATCGATCCGCGGTTAAATGCTCTTGCTAGAACTTTAATTTCGCTAATGGAATTAAACTGCGTCCAGCGTCGGGCAAATAAGATTAGCGAAGTGACTGGTAAATTAGGATAGAAACCGGGAGACACTGCCACGTGAGAGATTCCCCTCTTTTGTGCGTAAGGTCGTAGGCATGGTGTGGTCTCACAGAGAAACCAGATCGTTAGTCAAAAATGACTTACGGCGGTTCGTTCTGATAATAAAGCATCGAGCGTAACAAGCGCTCGCAAGATTCGTCACCTAAGCACAGAGACACTCGCCTCTTCTCTCGTCGTAGATCTTAAAAAGGTTTTGTCCCCTTTCCGTCCTTTGTAATCTTTCCCGACGTTCGAGTAAAAAACACGAATTTTCTGGGAGCCAAGGCTCTCCGTTGAACGCCCCCTTTCCCGTCGTCATCCAGTACGTTGAAAGCGAAGGCGTCTTCCTTCTAACCCCTCATTGTACTTTTATGGTTCTTTTCAAAGTCCGTTCGAGGGTCACTTTCATCTTTTCCACCGTGCCTTTTTTACGGTTGTCTCCGCCAAGATGTTACGCATCCTCCCACTGTCTTCCTTTGCTTCCTCCGGCTTTTTCTTTTTTCTAAGGGCACATTTGTCCCGTCTGCGCGCAACGTGTAAAAATTGCACGGATTAAATTCTCTGACGTGCGCCGCGTAGGTAAATAAATTTGTAGCTGTTTGGCGTAGAAGGAAGGTCGTTTCGTGACGAGTATATGTGCGGTTCTCAAGGATCTTTTTATCGGATAGTTGATACAACATCGTTTATCTTGTAAATAATTTTCACATCCCAGCGGTTTTCAACAATTTCTTGTCTGTATTATAAAATTCCCTGTACGTGTATGTTTTGTATATAAACTATTTCCTTTGGAGCGGTTATTTTCTCTCTTTCCAAATTAGCTAGCAATAATACAACATTTAATCGACGTATTCAATTTGGATTTTAAGGGAAAATATTTAAAATGCATCAAGGATTCAGACATACCTGATTTTGTTAAATTACAATACTTATCTATTCCCAAATCGCTTTTTAAAGTAAAATTTCTTAGAGTAAAATGCTTTGCCACTGGTTTATTGTTTATTGTCTTCTCTATTAGAAGAAGCGTTAATGGAATTATGGATAAAGAGGAAATTCCAAAAGAACACAAAACCGGAATTACAAAAACATCGTTCTAAAACCATTGTACGAGGTCTAAGCAGACGTAAAATCGTACTTTGTGAGTGACTTCAGATGGGCGCGTAGATGCAGCTTTCCCCAGGTTAGTTGACTTGGCGAGCGACGGGATCGGAGTCTCGACAATCGTGCAACGTGATTCTACACGGATCACTTGGGATCAGCTGCGACGGGACACATCTACCTTTATGTCGAACGAGGGAAGTTGATTCCTTGAGATGCTGCAAAGCGCAAAGGGTATCGTCTCGTGGCGTAATCGTGTACCATAGCGAAGAAAAGGTCTGACCTGGTCTGTTGCAAACCTCGTTAAACGATCCTTCCCAGGCTGCCACGAGTCACGGTTTAAACGACGTCTAAAGAACCCTGACAAACAATACTTCGTTACCTGAATGGCTTTAGCCCACTGGTCCATTTCCTTTTCTGACCGGAGAAGAATCTTTCGGACGCATGATCATTCCGATTTATATTTGTTTACATATATTTATCTGGTTCCTTATTCTTTCTGAAAACAAATTGAAACGCTTTCATTGTAGTTGTCTCCTATTTGCTAAAGCGCTTGTTCGAACAAACGAGAGGGACAAAGAATTATGTTCTTGCCTTGCTATCTGTTTTAAAGTATCAATTTCTTTACTCTCGCTGATTGTATCGTTTCCCATGTAATAATTCGTTTTTTACTTGATAAGAAGATTATGAGATTACAAGATTTGATAAGAAAATTGTTGCAAACTCGTACAACTTTTTACCTTCTTCTCTACGTTAGATTCAAATATCTGCGAAGCTTTATTTATAAGATGGACATCGTTTCGAAACAATGATTTCCTGACTGCGGTTCCTATAGGATCTTTCTTAAGTAGTGATTTATCGACGGCATATTGGCCGTCAGTAATAAAAAATCGTTGAACCGTTGGTCGAAATCAGTGATCGCTAAATTATGGACCTTGACGAGGCTCCTTATAATCGTGATCCGACGTGTTCATTGAGAAAAAGATTTCTAAGATCGGCGATGCTGTCAAAGTAGCCGCATAAATTGCTCAAGATGAAAACGATGAATTCATCTTACGTTCGAAAATTCTGCTAGCGAAGACAAATAGTTTTTGTCTTGCCGGATAAATCGTCGATATATCTTGGCTGTAGGGCAAGGATTCCTTCAAAGATTCTTAAGCTTCAGCATCCTTCGTCCAAGGCGATGTATGGCAGGACAGATTCTCACATCGGCTCGTGTACAGGAAGCGGAGGAATGGTCGGAAGGAAGGAGAGGGGGGCATATATAGGAAGGGAAAAGGAATTTCGTTGAACTGCGGTGTTCGTGCGATCATTGATTTACGATGGTACGTCGTAAATACCACCGGTGATGTACGACCATGCTTCCCCTCCTCTCTTATCCTTTACCCCTGCATACTCTCCCCTGTTTTCCCTCGTAAGTTTCTTCTTCACTCTTCTTTCGCCTTCGCCACCGACGTTCCCTTTACGGACCTCTTCTTGATTTATAATATCTACTGGCCTGTTGTCTCTTTTCGTTCTCTCTTCTCGTACATACCTCCTAGGTGCTCGGACTCTCGGTCCTCCCTCGACCTTCTCCCTTTTCTCTTTTCTCGTGTGTACCGTCGTGTTGTCTGCTCGTATCAACCGTAGCTTCAGCTTTGACGTTCGTTCTTTCGTCTGCTTCTCCCCTCCTTTCTTTTTTACTTTTTTGACCTGACTCTTGTCTCCTATATACATATCTACTATTCGCGTTGAAATGGTAAACGTTCTGCGAGATTCTCGGACGCAAGTTTGCGATGTCCGAGACGTTTGGTCGTGGTTCTTTCTTTGATATTTCTTTCGGATACGAGCAAAGTAATTTCGTGGAAAGCCTATGATATTCGTCGCGCGACTATCGTATCAAACGCCAATAAAATTTTTCTCGTAGTGAGAAGTTTGATAATAGAACAAGTACAGTTGTACACGCGCAAGTGTATTTTTCAAATTATAAGTCGATCGATCTCTCCTTATTTGATACGTAATTTAAAAAACAAAGATTTCTTTTTTTCAATCTTCTGATGAAAAATTGCTCCGATAAAAAGAGAAGAGCTTGTAATCCAAAACTTGTTACTTCTGTATGTGTGTATCTCCCTCCCTCTCTCTTTCTCTCTCTCTTTCTCAACGTATTAATATTTTTAGTATGTTATAGCACAAGAGGTGTCAGATTTTAGTTTATGTTCACATCTGTTCGCCAGTTTATGTATTTTTATATATAGTTTACGTATTTCCGTGTTTTAAATTAAACTAAAGACGGAAGGACTAAACGTTTGCCACTTGAAATTTGAGGTAAACGAAGCGAGCGAAAGGAATTATCATCAAGGATAGGAAATTGATGGCAATGAAATATTCACCTGCTCGTTCTTGAAATTATTCGAACCCTTTTGCAATTATAATTCCATTCAAATGGGAGGTGTTGGTACGTTCAAGAATAGTACCTTGAAGTGTCACGACGTATTAATATTTGACCCGTTTAGATGGATGTTTTGGCATGTTTGTTTTTAATGTAAATCTATTTAAATTAGTGCTGTTGCGACGCAGTTTGCGAGATTCAGCACAGATACTTGGCATTGCAATTATTCCTGGCTGAGCACTTTGAATATTCATTAGAATACTTACTTTGCATAGTGTTAAGTGCCATCATGAAATTTGTAATTGCGCTAGGGTAAAGGATAATCCCGTGAGCGGTTTCCATTCTATGGTCTGGAATGTGTTTCAACGTTATACTTATACGACCCGGCTTTGCCTCTATTTTCGTTTATACTTTCTTATCGATT